TTTTTTTTTTTTTTGAAAAATTAAATAAAAAGCACATCACCCATCAAGCGCTTATATAATTTTGACTCCGAAAACTGTTGGCAAGTCATACATTTGATGATGAGCCTTTAAAAATGAATTTCTTTTTTTCGATATTTATACATATAATGATATAATATAAAGCTTCATAAGAATACATCCTATTGCTACAAATTTTATATTTAAGGGCGCAGTTTGGTTTGCAATGATTTAAATATAAAGTAAATAAATATAAGAAATTTTTTTTTTTAAGGTTATGTAGAAATCATATGAAGCATTTTTGTAGGAAATTTATATTCATAATGAATACTTTTTATCTATATTATTCAATCTATTTAATTTAATATTCAATCATATATTATAAATAAATAATATATTTATATAGCTTTAAAATGTTCTAATTTTAAAATATTTTAAAGACATCCTACTAAATGGATAAATTATTCTATGCGAAGATTGGATAACAGAATGTCGCCCGGAGATCCAACCGGAATGCACGACGTCTGTAATACTGAGCCACAGTGGAGCAATACGAACATAAAGTAGAGTGATATGACGTTTATGATTGATCTTCGAAATGACATTTTTTAAGATCTACCAACGACCCTTAACATACTAACAATTTTACAAAGCCCATCCTAAACAAAGTATGAGTGAAAAAGACTGAAAGAGGCAATCTCAAAGCAGTCCAACATCTTTGGCAACCAGCGCCAGTTCCTGCGCTCCTTCTCCTTCGTCCTTCTCTCTTTCCAAAATAATATTAATATTTACTCCTCAAAAATCTCCATCTCCTAGTACTTATCCTTTATTACTTTTATAAATGCTGCTTCTCAACGCACGTTATAGCCTTTCTAAACACCATCCCATATCCCTGACATTCTCTTCCTCCCTGCTCCTTTAATGCTTCTCCTCCTCCTCCTCTAATCATCTTTTCTTCTTTTCCCGCAATTCTCCTATTATCATTACTTTATTGGTTATGAATGCCTCTCGAATCAATTGGCTCACGCAAATATCAATCCGCCGCCGTGGTAACCTACCCGACTTATCTCTAGTATGACTAGGAGGGATTTTTCTTGCTGTTAAATCAAATTTAAATACATTAATAATTAGCAAAATTATACTTAATATGCTTACAAATTAAAAAATAACATGTCTTCATAGATTAAAATTAGTTTCTTTTATTAAAAAAATGAGATTATTATTATTTTCATAAAATTTAAAAACTCGCAGTTTAAAATATTAATTTTTAACTATATTTTTTTAAATTGAGATTTGAAGTAACTTTTTTTTGGTGTAGCTCGATCTTATGGTGAAAATTTTATGAGTATTAATAAAAGTTTTCTTCTTTTTTTAAAAATTTTATCTTTAGTTTATTTAAAGGTAAGGGTATTGTTATATTTAATCATAAATATTTCTTTTAAATATATAAATAATAATCATGTTTTAAAAAAATATAACGAAGGAAATAAATATGATTAATATACATTTTAAAATTATATATATAAATTTTAATCATATTATGTTAAATTATGATAGCATAAACTTCATGTAGGGCCCGCAACAGCTGATTTTCTGGAAGCGGCGGGAGGTCAAATACCTGAAGCAGAGCTCACTCTGGTCCTCCAGCTTCGACAGCGCCATCTCCCTACTCGTCCGCTCTTCCTTCACTATCCTCGCAAGAATAAAACAAGTCTTCGGCATCCCTCAAATCATTCCATACAACTCGTCTTTCATCTCCGCCACCGTCCACCCAGAAACTCCTCCGCCGGCCGCCACCACTCCAGGATCAATTATCACCACCAGCACAGCCGCTCTAACGCCTCCACCAACGACAGTGGGCGCAGCCTCTTTAGCCCCACACTACGCGAAGCTCATCGTGGTAGTGGAACGAATGATGCAGGCGCCGCGGGCTCGCGCGGACGTTAGAGACGAGATGTATGGAATGATGACGGCGAGGTTGCGGGCGATGGTGAGGTCGAGGTTGATAGGAATGGGAAGGGGGCCGCCCAGAGACGGCAGGTTGGCTTCGGAGTGGAGGGCAGCAATGAGGGAGATTATGGAGTGGTTGGGCCCGGTGGCGCACGGCACGTTGCGGTGGCATGGGGAGAGGAGCTACGAGCGGCGGAGCGCCGGAGCGGTTGTTAAAGAAAATGTGTTGGTTTTACAGACGCTTTATTTTGCAAATATGGAGAAGGTGGAGGCGGCGATTGTGGAATTGTTGGTTGGGATGAATTATGTTTGGCGGTTTGAGATGGAAGCAGGATTATGAGTTTGTGAGAGCTGTTAGTTTTCTTGATTTTTGATCACCGATGTGATGAATTTGAATGCCAGCGGCGCCGGCGGCAATGGGTGAAGGGGTTTGGATATACAGAACTACATTGGTTGCTGGGACATAAATTTGAGAAGGAATTTCTTATAACAACTTTATGAGCAATTATCAAGTATCAAATATCATTACATTTGCATGGTTTTTATATGTAAAGTGGTGCAGATCGTTTTTTCTAACCCTAATCTCAGTAAGTCTATATTTAGTTGATTTAGTGGTGCAGATCGAATTCTAATTTATGATTTAGTTAAAAAATTGGGTTGGGTCTAGGTCAACCTCCTAACCCGAATTTGAGTCATCCCTAAACTCAAGTCACTTACACATTACCCAACACTTGCCCTGGACTCTACCACTTGCACTCGCACCATGTGGTCCCTCCCTCGCTCACTTTGTGACACTCGCGACGACTAGCCTAGCCCCCACTCGCATGCTTAGTGCAATCCGCAGTTACACACCAGCATGCGCAACACATTGCCTAAATAGACTAGCCTAATGCACTCCGCAACCACGGGCCTTGCCCAAATTTGTGCACTCAATGTTGCAGCCTTGCCTGTACTAACTCACCCACACCTCAGTCGTGTTTGGCCAGTTACGGTTCTGTCGGGTCAACTCGATGGGTCAAGTCCTGGTCTAAATTTCTAACTCGTTTATAAAATCAGGTCTAGTTCCTTGCTTTCCTGAACAATTGGAGATTTAACCGAACCTCTATAAAGCTCTATTTATAATTTTGATTGACCAATCCCAATTATGCATACAATGTTTAGCTTTAGTTGATCGATCAAAGAAGTTTGAGAGATTAAAAAAAATCTAATTATTTGTGGATAAAAAATTAAGGATTCTTTTGGGACTATCCTAAATCAGCTTTCTAGTACAAATTTTTTTAATATTTATACAAGAAAGCTGCTTTAAAAAATAGTAAGAAAAATGTTCCAAACGAAGCCTAAATAATCAGGTTTAATATTAGAAAATAAAATTGATCAAGACATTTTGATGTAAAACGCATCATGAGGGGCTTCAAAATCATCTGATTAACACTAAGATTAATACAATTTAAGATATAAATGACGTTGCTAATCTCATCATAATTCAACTTAAGATATTTTAACAATATCTTTTTCATATTAAGTGATTAGAGGATCCCGTTAAGAGGCCTACGAGCTCCAAAAGATTAAACTAAGCATGCCGACCTCAAAGAACGTCGTGGATAGATTACACTCATCCATCTCCCTCATCAAATTTTGGGCCATTGTTGACTAATCCAAGGTCGCACTAAGAAAGAACACAAGATCCAATGCTTAAGCCATTCTCATAATACTTCAGTTAAAAAAAATTAGCGTTCGCTAATTAAGAGATTAGGATAATAAAAAGGAAACAAATCACATTTAAAATCTTTAAATTTTCCAACTTAAGAACAAAGAAAGCGACAACCGATCTTTGGAAACACTCGAAGCCGAAATAATCAACACCATTAAAAAAATAAGTGGTCTCTAATGGCCATACTGGCAGCGAAGCAGCTCATACTTCTTTACAGCAACAAGCGGCATATCGGATCAATCATCCGCTAATATTTTAATGAAAAATATAAATATGGATTTTAAGGTAAAAATAATATTCTAATCAAATTTTAATTATGATGAATCTATTTAGAGATAAGTGTAATGCATAAATAATACATCAAGTTTTAAAAAAATTATATTAAAATTATCTCAAAATAATTTTAATGATTTAAGATTTAACATAAAATACATATTTACTAAATTTATGTAAAATAAGTTGATTATACATAAGTGTTTATTTTTTATCTTGTCTTGACTTTATTTGATTATAATTTTTTAAAAATTTGTATAAATAATTTTTCTTATAACTGAAGGCTTCATTTTTTTACTGTTTTATAAAGATAATTTTTTAATATAAAAATCTTTTAAAAATAAAAAAATAATGGCCGAAAAGTGTCTACAATAAGCCTAAATCTTTTGCAGTCTGATAAGCATCGAATATTTTATGCTTTTTTTAATAAAGGAAAAAATATAATACTCACAATAACTTTCAAAATATCTATCTTTATTATAATATATATTTGTTCAATTATCTTTATAAATAGCTACAACTTCATTTATGAATTTATTTAGGGTAAAATTTTTTATTACTTTGTTTTTAGGAATATTGTTGAATTCTTTCGGAGAACCTTTTTGGTATTTTTTTAGAAACTTCTGTGAAGGAAAATCATTTTTTAAATTCAGATTCATTAGAGCGAGATAGCTACGGAAAAATTGCTAATAAAAAATTTCAAAGAAAAAATATTTATAATATGTATAATAGTTTTAAGAAAATTAACTTTTCTACAATAATTCTATAATAATCTTTACAAAAAGCCCATTTTGAAAAGATTTTAAATTTGTAAACTAGATACATATAATAAGTGTTATTGAAATAATAAAAATTGAAAAATTATTGAGAATTTTATAAATATTTTTTATTTTAAGGAGTTTTGAGAATACTCTCTCTCATAAGGAATCACAATCTCTAAATTCCGTATTATAAAAAATTGTTCTCTTAAATATTTTTAAAAAAAACAGCAAACAGTGGTTACAATTCATAGGAGTATGATAGGTAAAGGCATGGAGCAAGAGACGATTTAGTTCAAACATAATAAATATGAACTTCATATACCTCCATTCAGTTTGAGATGGCCGAGTTGGTCTAAGGCGCCAGATTAAGGTTCTGGTCCGAAAGGCGGGGGTTCAAAATCCCCACTCTCACAAACTTATTAGAAAATTCTTTCAGAGCAAAGGGTTTGAATTTTTTGTAGAAAGAGTTTCAGTAAGGTTATAAGTTAGCCGAGCTCTACTCATTTGATGGGAATCACAAGCATAAAAATAATTAATAATTTTTTTTAATAATTTATTTTTATTTATTAAATTTAAATATTTCTAAAAAAATATAATAAATTGTTTTAAATATTTAATAAACATAAATAAATTATATTTAAGAGTTTAAATTTAATAAAAAAAGTTTAAATATTTTGATAAATTTTAAATATTTAAATATTAAAAAAATTTTCGTGTCAAGCTCGAGCTCAAGCTCTGTATTTGACAATTGAACTCGACTCAAAACACCTCCTGACTCGAGCTTGAAACTTTCTCGCCGTCTTTTCGCCTGAGAGAAGGCGACATGTGAAATATATTACAAAAAGAGGCTTTAGAAGTTCGTAATATGCTTATGTGCCATAAGTAAACATTCGAAGTACGCAGACATTTTGCCAATTGTTGACAACAATCGAATTTTATTGTAGGAACAATAAATATCTGATTTGAGCAAAATTTTGAGTTTTATTTATTATTTATATTTTATAAAAATTTTGAGTTTTATTTTATTTTGCGGGTTTTTTAATTTTAGGTTATTTGACAAAAAACACCTTTGGTTTGACATGATCTTCAAAATCTGCTCCTCTATACTTTTACAAATGTTGATAGAATAAAAGAAAATGTTAGGTACACAAATTAGACCTTTTCTTCTTAATATTTTAATTTCACTAAATAGATTGAGGGTATAGGTAAACCCTAAAATACTTAATTATTTATATCAAATTTGATTAAAATATATAAATTAATAGGTTTAGTAACTAACATGTGTGCTTAAATTAGTAACATCAATATATAATTAGTTGTGCATGATTACAACTCCAACTCGATAAAAAAAAAATTAATAAACAAGTTTGAACATGATTTTAAAATTCTCGTCATCTCGACTTCGCCTCAAACTTGATAAGATCATAAATGAACGAGCGTAAAGCTCTACACAACTCATTTACAGCCCTATTTTGAATTGATTTCCATTTCAAAAGTTGTGCTTCAAATTGTTAATGTTTCAAGTCAATCAATGCATTGAATATTAGATTTACATAAAGAGTGATCTTAAAAAAAAAATCTTGTCCCAAACTAGGCATGAATCAACTACTAAAGATTACGCACCTCATCTTAATCTGTTGGTTCAGATATTTAACTACTAACCAAAAGGTTTTAGATTCGAGTCTAATGCATGTGATGTGTTTGAATTTGACTTAATTAGCATCAGTGGAGGAGCCAGAAAATTCATTGAGGGGGCCTAAATTATTTTATTAAAATTTTTCCTTGACTTTTTTCATCCGGGCTTGGGACTGGCATAGACATTTTTAATTTGTTTTTTTAATTGTTATCTAAAAATGTATAATATTAAATATAATATAGTAAACAACTTACAATGTATAATGTATACTCTTCATATTCTGAAAGAGTTGAATGATTACTTCGTTATCAATAAAAATTGTTGCGTTATGGAATATTCGCGGCGGTAGAGAAGTATAAAGTTTAACATCTTAGCATTGTATGAAGATCCAACACACAAACAGATGAAATATACCTCACATAAAGTGCATTACATGATGAGACTTGAAAGAATCACTATATAATCGTTTTGAGTCATAGATTTGGACATATTTGAACTCAGAGTGGGTCGAATTTGGTGTTGTTGGATTCGTATATTCGAGACGTTCAATTCGGCTGTAAGTTTGCCGAAATCAAAGTCTAGGTGGTCTCTGATTTAATTTTTGAAGTTTCCAACTTGATTTTGTATTCGAGATGCATGCCCGATCAAGATATTTTTTTTTATGATTTATCAATAATCTAAAATGATTACTTCAATTTTTGATGTAGAAGACTCATAAAATTAAAACTTCAAACAAAATATCTATAGTCTACTAGAGAAAACTATATTTTGTAGATTACAAATCAATAAATAAAATATAAATTACAATACTAACATATGTAGGTAAACATTATTAGATTTCAATAAACTGAAATCATAAACAAAAAAGGAGAAGCTTTTTTTTTTTAGTATGAGTTTTTTTTCTTCTAAAGCTACAATTAGAGACAATATTTTTGCTGATTTCTAAAATAACTTTTTAGTATAAAAATTTCTTGAATTCAAAATTTGCATACTAGAAAGCCGTTTAAAATAAAAATAATAAAGTTGTCCCAAACGAAGCCTAAATATCCCCCAAAAAACAAAAAAAAAAACTATGAAAGATCAAGATATATGGGCAATGATGTGGCTAGGGCTCACTATTTCGTAGTTGTGGCTAGTGGCAACCTTCGGTTGTGCATTTCTCGCTCGGTTGGGATGACTATTTGGTGTGTTACTGCTCTCAAATTCAAACTGGATGGTCCGTGTCTAGCTTCATAGTAGTTAGAAGCCTCTGCCAATTACTGAGCTTGATGGGTTGTTACCCCTTTGTATATTTTGTAGCTTTTTAATCGTTTTATTTTTATGCTTCATGTACTCCTTTTTATGATTTAATAAAATTTGTGTTTTTGTGGATAAAAAAAAAAAAAAACTATGGAAGATCAGGATATATCTGCTCATGGTTAGGGTATGAAATGTTCGATTATTACGGACGGTGGAAACTCGAATTAAAAAGCACTTTATTGAACTAAAGGTGATGCATGCGATGGAAGAGCGATGGATGATCACTAAGGAGGCTTAAATAAAAAGGGTTTGTTGAGAGATAAAGCCAAACAATACTAGTAATGTCATTGCTGGACGTTTCTTTATCATAGGAGGAATGCAACTTCCTCAAAGCAATGCATACTAGTTGTTTTCATCATCTTTAGTCTTCCAAACTATGAGATTAGCGTCATAAATCCTCCTAATTACTTTACTTGTGTTGACTATTGAGGTGTTAAACATATTTTCTCAAATCATTTTGAATAACATCAATTTATGTGTATGAGTGTGTGTGTGTGTGTGTGGGGGGGGGGGGCGTTGTTTGTGTATATATTATGAGCTCCAAAAATTTGTGTCCCGGCCTCTCAGCGGCCCCTTTTCTCTTTGTTTCCTATATTTTATTGTAAATAACACGTTGTGTGCATGGTGAGTCTCCTACAGTGACTCGCAGGTATTTGCATTTATTGATGTCTCACATTTGCTATGTTCTTCGATCTTTGCTTGTAAATGATACGTTGCATGTCCACGTTCATAGGAGATCCATTATACCTGCAGCATATTCACTATCATCGATTGCAGGTAGATTAATGTGTTCATTTACAAGCTGATGCTAACTGTTAGGTGGGCTGCATTCGCTCATATATCGACTTCTATTTGTTTGCAAATGAACACTCATCCTTGCGACATATTTATTGTTGCTACTTGCAGGAGCTTAGCATATTCGTTTGTACGTTGCCATCATCTATAGGGTGAGTTGCATTCACCGTACATTGCAATGCTAGATTTGCTCATATAACATGTTAATGCTTGCATTTCAACTGCTGTTAAAATTGACTGCAAGTGGATTGCGCTCATTGTACTCGTCCCTTCGTCAATATTTTCAAGGAGTTTCATTATTCACAGATGAATTTGCATATTCATCTGTACACTAATGTTGACTACCATGTGAGATGCATTTGCTACTGATTTTTCCACGCATATTGATTGGCAAGTTGTTGCATCTATTTGCATACCGGATTTGTGTTCATGGGAGATTTCTGCATGCAACTGCAAGCCCATTGAAACTATTACACTCATAGCCCATCCGTTGTTGTTGCTCATGAGTGGATTATTGTATTCATTTGTCAGTCAACAGATGTTGAACAAGCTGGCTGATGTTGAACATATGGAGACCACTACATTCATGTCTTATTCAGCATTACTGTTGTTTGTTATGTGTTGCATGCATTACAAGTCTATTGCCTTTCTTCATAGACAGCGCGTCGTGTTTGTGAGGACTTGTCATACTCATTGCATGTTGACTATTGTTTTTCACAGGGAACTATTTTATTCATTTTCCAGTGGACATTAGCATTAAATAATAATTAAATAACAATCACGAGATTGACAAAAAAAAAAAAAAAAAACATTTGAGATTTTTACCATGGTGTTGGGTTGAGTGTGAGCTCATTTTGAATGGGTTTGGGTTTATAAGTTGGTTTTGAATGGGCTTAGTGGAGAGATTTGGGTTTTGTAGGTTGCTGTTTGTGACTTTTGCCTAAACATGGGATGTGAGCGGCTGCTGGCTATTGGAAGGAGAAGGCAGAAGACTGGATGAAGGAAGCCGGCTCAGCAGGTTTGCGAGCTGTGGAAGTGCAAGTTGGAAGGGATCTGATTAGCTTGGGTGAACAGGTAGTCAGATCGAGATTCTTAGGAAATCGGAGCAGGTCGTGGATGTTTCGATCGGCTGTGGTGTCAGATGTGGAAGAGCTGCAGGAGGAAGAAGTGGTCGACGGGTATTGAAGCAGGTCGACGAGCCTCGGGATCGACCGGCTCAACGCAGGTGATCCTAACAGCTATATCTTTTGTACTATTAATATTACTATAATCTTGGAAATGAATGTGCAAATACTCATCAAAGGTAAGTACATTCTAAACATATAAAATGCGGTTAATCCTGCTGTAAACCAAAAGCAAACTATTTGTGTGAAAATTGGTGAGTACAACCAACTATCGTGAATAATTTCATCTTTGTATCAAAAGCAAGCAAGAGGCGGAATACCACAAAGATAAAGTCTATCTAAAAAAATTAATTTTTGTAATTGGAACATATTTTGGTATATGTAAGCTCAGCTGGTGTGCTTTTGGGAATAGAAGATTCGCGATTACAGTTGGACGTCAGGTTGAGGAGGAAGCTCGGGCTGTGTGGATTCGGCTGCTGGAACGGAGAGAGCAAAGAAAGATGATAGCGAGCGCATGATAGAAGTTTGGCAGAGAGGAGATGCGAGTGGGTGGAAGAAGAGCCGAAGGCTCTGTTCGTTTTGTCATTTTATTAGCGCGATCAGAGGTGCGATCGAGAGCAAGATTTTCGCTTGCGGGTATGAGCAACTGCATTCAGCACCGAATTACAGAATTGGCGACGGGACATTGTAGCAAACGACGGAATTTGAGTAGGATTTGTGCAAGATTTGAGCAGGTTATAATATATAATACATGATTTTCCACAATCTAAACAAAGAGACTTTATCGCCAACTCAAGATTCAATTCTTGAATTACAATAATTTACAATAGAACCAAACATTGCCGCCCAAATTTTCTCGGTTCTAATAATCCATATCTACATGAAAAAAAAAGAACTATAATTTTTTTTTTTGGGGTAAAATCTGAAGCTATCCTTGTGAGCAAGGGTAGTGTAGTGCTGCTTAGTTATAACAGTACAACAACAACAACAACAATAATATATTTTTATTGCACTATGTGAGGTTGGCTACATGAATCCTTCTGCTCTATCGTGTTCTGTTAAGAGTCAAATTCTCATTTAAATTTAATAAAAAATGATCATTTCTAATATTTTCTAAACATATTTTTTCCGGTCTACCTCTATCTTTAACACAAGTCAAATCTAATACATCTACTTTTCTAACTAAGTCATTGGAAGGCCAAATCATCTAAAGGCCACTCTCTCTAATCTTATATTTACTAAAGCGAAATATGTAGGAGCAATGGCTAGGAACCATTCACCGAAGATACTCCAGCAACTGAGCAGCGTGTAATAGTTTCAGCAAACCAATCACAAATTTTAGAAACGTGAACCAAGCATTCTGATCAAAATACAATCACTCAAACCCATATCAAACTTACACACGATCAAAACTGAAACCATATATTTAACAAAATACAACTAAAAGAATAGATGAAAAAACATACACTGCAGGAACAGTATAACATTCTATTTACAAAGCGCGACTATTTATTCATGCATGTAAAATTTCAGTACATAAACAGAAGTCAAAGCAGCACAATTGAATTGCATCACTCATTTTAAATATCAAGTGCATGGTTTTCTATAACATGATTAGTTCTATTTCATGGAACTAGATGCAGAGAAATGATTAGCACTGTTCATAAGGCTTGAAGCCCCCGGTCCACTTGCAAAATAAACACTATTATAACAAATGTTATGCCAAGCAACTATCAGAACCATAGGGGAAGAAAACTGGTAAGGAAGCCACCATATTTCACCAAGAAAGAGATCAATCAATGTCTAAGCTGGAATAGGGTTCATATGCGACCTGGAAGTCAGGGAAAAAGATTCAAAGGGAACTATAATCAGAGTTTTGTCATATTTGAAACAATGGGTAAATTATAAGCAAGATGAAAGTAACCCAATTGTAGTAGGTAGTTTCAAGTCTAAGCAAGAAAGAAATTGATGATCCTATGATTTGGCATAATAATACCAGTGGGTTTTTTTTTCTGAAAGGCTATGGTGAGTATGGTATACCGGAAATGAATGGAGGGTGAAATTCAAAGGGAGATGAGAGATGAACAAAAAAAGTGGCTAACTCATGTTAGTTCACAAGAAAAAGCTGCTCATCTATGGAATCCCATCATTGAAAGATGCTACTCACAGAGCAATCGTCATGAACACGCCATATGGTTTCTCCAAGAAGGTTTGCAACTGAAAGTACCGTAAGCTGAGGAAAACCTTTTTTCTCCAAAACTGGAATAGTGTTTGTGATAATCACTTCCTGAAATAGACCACTTGACAACCTCTCAATTGCCGGAGGGCTGTCCAGCAATATAGAAAAAACAGAAGAAAAACAAGATATTACCATCAGCTCATTTGATAAAAAAACAGAGAACTCTACAAAAGTTGATACAAGGTAAGTCAAATGAAGCACAATCTAATAAATGAACAATTTCTAGTGTCCTTTTCTAGTACAAACTAGTGAAATCTATTATAGAAACTTTTCCTAGAACCTCCACTCTTCCTCTAGCATGTATGTTATTGGGTAGTTATCCTTGGCAATCTATTATAGAAACTTTTCCTATAACCTCCTCTCTTCCTCTAGCAATGTATATTATTGGGTAGTTATCCTTGTTCTCCCATTTCCCCCTCTGATTTTGTGAATTTTGCTATTAAAAATTCATTTCGTTGACAAAACATCACTTCGAAAAGAGTTCTCCCAAAATTTATATTGTCTCCTATTCACTTGGGAACTCTTAACGCTCTCTTCCAATCAATCATTGAGCAAATATAGTCAAACAGAGTTAATTTCAAATCATAGGAGTATCACATAATTTAGCTTTATTTTAATTTGAATCAATTTTACTTGTATAAAAGCGAAATGAGAAAGATACCTAAAAACAGCATGCGTACTGCAAGCATAGACCTCTCTTGCACCCTCTTCATGCAATAAAGCTGCACCTTTAGCAATTGTGCCTGAGACAACCAATAAATCATATAAAGTAAACAAAAGTGAACAGCAAAAGGTTGCAAATGACTGAAAAAGCTTTAAGCGGGGTAACTCATTTGGACATGCAGAAAAAAAAATCTTGAACATTTCTGTATTCAGAGGGCAAAACCAGATATATAAATTGATTTACAAGTGATAAGGGCCATGACTAGATAGGATGGCAGAAGACATCTTTGAAAAAAGAGAAAAAAAAAAACTAAAAACTAAAAATGTTTCTCAGGAAGTAAAGCACTAAACGCATAGGTATGAAAGAATAACTTATTTGTAACACAACGCAAAAAGTTACATACCAGCTGTATCAATCATATCATCCACCATAACAGCAACTTTACCCCTTACATCTCCAATTAGATTCATCACCTGTACATCATTAACACCTTTCCTGAATAGTCTCAATATATGGCAGGAAAAAAAAAGTAATAAAGAAGGGAAAGCAGGCTTTTATTAGGAAAAATGCAGTTGGATAAGCTTTTATTTCAACATATAATAATAACACAAGTAATCAAGTTAAGCTTTTATGGCACACTAGATTCCATCTATATGGTGTCTCTAAAGTATAATAATTTCAAGCATAACAGGCACATATTGAGAAAAACAAAAGGCCTTTCCAAATTCAAAAGGAAACGACTAATATTACCTCTGCAACATTGTGACCTTGACGTCTTTTATCAACAATGGCTAAAGGTGCATCTGATAGCTTCTTTGCAAAAGCCCGTGCCCGTGCAACACCACCAACATCAGGAGAGACCACGACTAGATCATTTGAGCAAAAGGTCTTGCTCGCCAGATAATCAAGGATAACAGGCTGATTTGCATCCAAGGAAGACATAAAAGAAAAAGATAATCATCCCATTAAATAAATTCCAGAAACTATATCTAGACTTTTGATTGATCATATCAATGAACTGTTCATGGATGGTATTGCTAAAGCATGTTACTTGGCCATAAACGTGATCAACTGGAATATCAAAGTATCCCATTGACTGTCCAGAATGAAGATCACATGCAAGCACACGGTTTGCACCAGCTTCAGTTATCAAATTTGCAACAAGTTTTGCAGCAATGGACTCGCGCCCTTGAGTCTGAAAAAAACAAATGGACAGCCTCAGAAGAATAAAGAATAATGCTGGACACAAATATTAAAATCATCACCACGGATGTCCAGGCAGTTCAAATGTAGGAGAAGACAACAGTATGGCAGTAGGAAGAAGTTTCATAATGCAAGTTTTAGGCTTTGTTTGGGATGACTTTTTTGTTGCTTCTTAAAGCAGCTTTTAGTAGAAAAATTTTAACAAAAAAGCCGTCCTAAACGAAGCCTTAATTAATCAAAAGAAAACGTAGCGTGGCATAAGTATTGTAGAAGTTCTGGGCAACAATAAACCTGCAAGTATAGCACACACTCTGTACATACTTAAATTGAAGGTTCCCAAATACAAGTAGGTCTAAGAGGAGGAGAAAGAACTAATGCAAAAGGAAGCAACTAACAAGGACGGGCTTTCAGTATATTGGCTTCCATGTAAAAATGTAAATAACCAGTTAAAGGCATTGGCAGACCAGGCAACTTCAAAATCTCCTTTTATTTAAATATTGCATTAATGAAATAACAATTCGGGACATTATGTATTTATGTTTACAGATACAGGAACATGATAATATAATAGAATGGCACTTGAAGATTAATAAATTCTTTCAAAAAGTTTCCAAGGTTAAACCTTTCTATCTGCCCTAGCATAGCCAAAATATGGTATAACTGCAGTGATATTCTTAGCAGACGCTCTACGGCATGCATCAATCATAATCAAAAGCTCCATAAGATTCTCATTTGCTGGGGGGCACGTTGGCTGCACTAGAAACACATCACATCCTCTTACACTCTCCTGCAACTGAACATAAATCTCTCCATCTGCAAACCTCTTAATCTTAATTTTTCCAAGTCCTAAACCCAAGTAATTTGCAATTTCCTGCAGACAAAACAGAAAAAATTAAGTTACAAAGACAGGTTGAACATATAGCAATGAGCAATGAAAAGAAACATATTTTTGAAGCAGAACAACATAATTAAACATCCAAGAAGAAATGTAGTTTACAAAAGTATAGAAAATTGGCGAAGTTCAAGGTTATTGGTGATGGGGACATCGACAAGAGGTTTCAACGCGTTTATCAGAGGCAACACAGGAGATCGATGGCTATGATGGAGAGTCTTTACTTTTGATGCATTTTATGTATTAATCATGTTATTTCAGTTTTTCCGTTTTTGCCCTTATGGGTAGTTGGTCGCTATTGTAGCCCAAGGGGCATTCTAGTCTTTTATTTTCTTTGTCATTTCAGAGGCCTATATATATGGCCATCTTCTTATGTATGAGAGGATTATTGATGAATGAAAATTTCTTTCTCTTGTTGATCTCTTTGTGAGTTCATGAAATTTCCCAAGATCTCTTTGTGAGTTCTTGAGGAGGTAGTTTTGTAGATCTCTTTGTGAGTTCTAGTGAATGTGGTGTTGAGGTTAGTGGTTTTACTTTTCGCATATACTTCGTTCGTTCTTCTTCTCCCTCAAGAAATCCCCACCCCATCTTCCTTGGAGAACCCAAGCCCCCCACCCCCCTCTCCTTGTCGCCAGCCTACTTGGGCTCACAAGCCGAATTAAATATATTTATTTTAAAATATAACTTAAATTATTGAATTTAATAGCTTAAATTATAATAAAAAAATTTATTATTTAATTATTTAATAACAAAAAATTAAGTGAATTAATTTTAATTTTTTGTTAAATTAAATTAATGATTTTATAATTAATAGTATATAGGTTAAATAATATAAAACTAACTAAAATAACAGTTTTCGATTTCAGACTAGTTGGCAGAAGCTGTGTGCGTGAGAGATGGGGTGGGCGGGGTTCGAATCCCGCCGAAGGTGGGGGTAGGTCCGCGGTTCATGCGGTTCACGCAGGGGCAGGTCCGCGGTTCACCACGGGAGGGGCAGGGGCCTATGGTCGTCCGCGGAGCAGCCAGAGCAGTGGTCTGTCTGATATAATTTTTTTTTGTTGGCATTCCGACGTATTAAAATTTCGACGGAAATATTTTTCCAGCGAAAATTGCGCCGGAAAGTCCGCCGGAAATGTTTCCGTCGGATTTTTTTACGTCGGTAGTCCTTTTACGACGCGAACCAAACCGGCGGACGAAATTTCACATGTTACCGGCGGATATAATCCGCCGGTAATAGCCGGTTTTCCTGTAGTGCCACCAGCACTCCTCTCCCTAACATTCAATTTTTTAAATTCAAAATTCGAATTTCAAATTCTTTCCATTTAGGGAAAATCCAAATTAGGAAAGTTTTGCTCATGAATCCAATTTCAAAATAAATCAAAGTGGATTTATTTTACTCTTTCCTAATATTCATTGCTTATTTAAAAACCTCCCCACCTTCTCCCAAATTCCCTCCCTCCTTCATGACGCCGTCAGTCCCTACATTGGGCTCCCCATTAATTGCTCAATTACTCCCTCCCCTTATTTGAAAACCAAAATTTGATTTCAATTATTTTTCCCCCTAATCTCATTAAAACTGAAATTAATTTCAGTTTTGCAACCCCTCACCCATCTCTCTCCATACCGCCGGCCCCTCTTTGGCTCCACCCGATTAAGCCTCCATTAATGCCTTAATTGCATTCAATTTAGATTCAAATTTCAAAAGTTTTCCCTCCCAATTTATTCAAAATCTGATCTTAATTTCAGAATTTTGATTAAACCACATCACCTCCATCCTAACCTAACTTCTACCAAAACCCTAGCCTCCTCTCCACCTCTCCTAGCCGCCCCTCCTCCCCCCCCCTCCTCTCAATTCACCATGTATGGCGGAACCCGAATGAAACTTTGGATTTGTGCATGACGATCGAGATCAAGTCGACATCCTCCAATCGCCATTCTTTGTCGTGGGCATTGATTTTGACGACACCGTTAAAGAATACATCGACCGTATCCAATACACCTTAGTTGACATGATCGACGAGCAAAGGTCAAAAGGACGTTGGAGCATCATTGGACGACCATCTTCCTCCACCACTCCGGCCACCTTTTCAAGAACGACGATCCTAGGTTCCTTCTTCCTCGGAGTGATCTCGATTCTAATGTGGAGACTCTTCTTCCGCTAAAGCCTAGACTATTTGAGCGTATGGGCTCCAAAGGTGAAAGGTCCCATTATTAAATAGTGGATTCTTGTTTACCATCGTAACTTTACAATTACTCTTTGCGTTTTCTTGAATTGTTTGGTTAATCGACTTCGCTCTTCTTTGCCTAAGCAAGTTAAAGACTAAGAAATCTGACGATCATTCCGTGTTATAAGTAATAACTTTATTTTGGGATTACTTTGTCAAAATTACTCTCTTTAATTTTTTAAGTAACTCCGATCGTTTCACATCAAATAAACAGCAAACACAAATAAATAGTAAATATTATGTTGTAGACAGAAAACTAACCCTTAAATTCAGAGAATTGGAGAGGGAAAAGGCTTAATTTTATTACGCAAAATCATCCCTATTTATAAATCTAAACAAGAAATCTTAATAAAGAAACAAATAATTACAGAATCATGCATAGTTGCCCTAATATAATCCTTCCTAAATTAGCCACCAAAATATGGATGGAGATCAGTGTGATCCAGATGAGCCTCCCATGGATCCCCATGCTAGCAATAGGATCAAGAGGTAAGGAACTGCTAGTATTAAACAAGTGAGCCTCCCACGGATCCCCATGTTGGTTGTGGGATTAAAGGCCAAGGGACTGTTGAGATTTAACACTAACAACAAAGAGAAAATCATTGTTTTAAAAGGTCATAGGTGCATTGCTACTGAGATATATATTCTACTGCGAATTAACATTTTGAGCTTTGATTTTACCCTACCTGATTTTATTTCTTATTTTTTCTGTTTTTTTTTTTCATTGAAAGCATGACTATGCATGTTATATTCTCTTCACTTGTGTGGTTCTATGGTCCAGCTACTGGTTCTTTGTGCTTGTTATTTTGGGTCAGGTCAGTTTCACTACTGGTTCATTGTTGGTTCGTTATTGTTCTGCCTTTGGTTTTCTATTTGGGTATCAAGTTGACATTTCTACTATATCACTTTTCAGCACCAACATGGGACTTGATGATGTTTGCTCCGTGGCCTAAGGGTGTAAATAAGTCAAGCTCGAGCCACCTCTAGCTTGAGATTGAGCTTTTATGTTAATCGAGTTCAAGCCAAGCCAAATTTTATGAGTTCAAGCCAGTTCATCTATTATGAATCCAAAAGTTGCTTCATTAAAATGATAATATGAATGAGAAGTTAAATAATAAATAATAAGAAATCATTAAAAAAAGAATGAGAAAATTTTAAAATTTTAGCAACTTTTTTATTTACACTCTTATGTTCGATATATTTTAAGATATTATTTGATGTCATTTTTTTTTAAATGCTTGGATTACCATTTTGTAAGTTTTTTTTATTTTTGAAAAAATATATGTTTTTTAAAAAACACTCAAAATATATTTTTTAAGAATTTCCATCATTTAAAAAAAATGAACTTTGGACCATCTTATGCAAACTAATGTGAGGCCTTGCTCGCAACCACCACCACTATCGAACGCTGACGCCATCCAATGCAACCGTTGTCGTCCACCTTCCCACCACTGTCGTATAAATCAACTTATGTGATATTAATAAAATTAAAAATAAAAAATTATTTAAAAATCAAACCTGTTTTTATTCTATATCAAAATATAAACAAAAAAAAAGTGATCCTAAATGGCCCCCTTAAGTGTATTTAATATTAGCAAGTTTTAAATGAGTCAACTCACAAGCTAACATGTTTGGGTTGACTGAAGCTTGGCTCATTAAGTTATTGAGCTCAATTCATTAGATATATTGCGCCTAACATGAGTTTGCTCACGAGTCATCTTGACTCAGTTACATCCCTTCCCGGCTAGTGATGGCTGGTTAATTCAGTTCATGTAACAAAAATCATGAATTGTGGCTTATTCCCAATATTCAATTATTGCAGCAAAATCTGATTTGCGGTTCCCTCTATTACCGTGATTTGTTCTTTATCTGTTTAGGATTGAACCTTCTATTGTTTGCTAGAGATACGTTGCAAACAAAGCTGTTGTAGGAAGTTTTCCACCAATATATTACTACTGTTCTTAGTAGATTCCCCTGACTTTCACCTCTACGGGCATAAAAGTGATTAGAATTTCAGTTCCTTCCTAGCATGGTTTATGATTGATGCTATAAATTGAACCGCGATTGAGTGCAAGGATTTTGGCTATAGAATTTCAATGCTTAGACAACCAACTTACTCTTAATCAGAGATTTTGTGATTATAAATAAGGATTACAAGAGAATAGTATTAAATATTAGTCATTAATGCGAAGTTGAACAAACCATTTTTATAATAGGTGATGAATCAATTGAGCAAACTGATAGAATAATTCATAAAAAGTTTCGCTGATATTATTCATCTAACGAATGAGCAATCTGATATCGACTTTATTTCAAGGTTTTGGATTCATAATCCAAAAAAAACTTAATAAAGAGTTCATTTATGTCAACATTTTAGATAATTTATTATCAACGAAGGTATTTAAAGAAACCTAAGATTTAAACTTCATTAATCTGGTCAAATCGAAAAATCTTAAATTTATTTCGATTAGTCTTCAAGCAATTTGGCTAAATTTTTTTATAGAAGCTGCCAGTCCATATCAGAATATCATATTTTTGTTGTTTTTCCACTTCAGAATTCCGCATCATCTCACCATTTATGAATTAGTTATAGTGTCTTTATTAATATTCATTATGATGCAATTAATATTTTAATATTTTCATTACATCCCTCATATCATACCAGTCCTTTGTATGATTCACCTAATTTTCATGACAATATTTAAAAACATTGGCCATTTATTATGACAATTATAAATCTACTGTTGATGTGAACATAAAATACGTAAAATTTAAATCAGATGATAAAGTTATGATACGTATAAATCTAAAATATTTCTTACATAAGCCTTAAAGAATGAAAAAAGCTAGAAAGGGGTCATATAAAATCATACACATTAGGGTAAATGGTTATACATTATAAATTTAAACAAAATAATAACTTAAGGTTTAAGGTTAGGCTTTATAGTTGATTTCAAATAGTATGCATAAAAAATCGATAAATCAATGGTAAAATACCAACAAGGAACTCATTCCAGTAGAGGCCTCCCTTATTAGGGTTTTGAGTAAGAAAAGATTGATTCTGATGGGAAAAAAAAATTGATAAGGGGAGAGGAGACATGATAGCCTCGTCATCAGCCAACACAATGCCAGTGACAAGTTAGTGAGGCTTTCTCGAGAGGTCACTCTAAGGATCACACACCACATATACACAATCGGTCTTTGTACATTTTGACTTTTCTAATACGTATTGTAACTACTGTTTTCAAACTTCTTCATCCTAAGCTATAAAATATAAAGGGATAAGATAAGCAAATGGGTTACACAATCAAATAACTTTGTGGATGGCCCGAGCTAATGTAGAAACTTGGCCCTTATGCTCTCACTCTGGATCCATGAGGGGGAGATAATTAGGGATGATTGAAGTTGTGATGCAAAGTAAAATTGAGAATAATCCCATATTTGAAGTGTAGTAATTAAGTTATTAAAACTAATAAAGGAAATCCTAACTCATTAGGTTAAGCTTTTAGCTTAATAGCAATCCACCCACTAGTATATTTGACTCAACTTAGTCCCCCTAACACGTTTCATAAAGCATCACAAAGCACAAATGCACAACATCATCAAATGAACCCTATAAACATTCTTTAATGAAGGAAGAAGAACTGATATCATATTAGACGGTTCAATATCTTATATGGTACAAGGATAAGTTTTAATACTTTTAAAGATGAAGATAGATAAACAATGAACAAACAAATAAATAAATAAACAAGAGATAAACTACAACTCGCATGACACTGACGAAAATTAAGATTTCGGCACATAAAATAAAATGAAACACAAACTATACTATAGGTAAAATAATAAAGGCAGCCCTAACTCATTAGGTTAAGCTTAGTCCCCTTAACATATTTTATAAAGCAGCACAAAGCACAAGTGTAGAATAACATCAAATGAACCCTATAAATGTTATTCAATCAAGGAAGAAGAAATGGCGCCATACTCGAATGGTTCAGTATCTTAAATACTACGAGGAAAATTTTACTACAATCAAAGTAGAAGATAGATAAACAATAAACAAACAAATAAATAAATAGAGGCTTTAAAGAAAATGAAGCGTGACAAAACTATTGGACACTTAAATGCTAAAGAAAAAAATAACTAATTTCTAAAGTTTGCACATGAACATACAAGGTTTCTAAAAAAAGAAAAAGAAATAAAATTCCCAAATTAGAGCTTCATAGCCAGAAAATCATAATTTTATCATCATCCTCATCAATATGTTTAACCTTATTCCAACAATTCAGGGAAAGCCAGAAAGCAAAGAAATCATACTTTCAAGCATTTAAAATGTTTACCTTCCTCTACTGAAAAATCAAATTACCTGAGATAGAGCAGGATTAGCAGTTCCGGAGAAAATTCGCAGCCTTGTGTCGTTCTTACTTCCGCCTTCGAGGCCACGCGGCACTGTTAAGAAACTAGGCAACGATTGATCGTTAATGATAGGAATGCGCGGAAGGGCTCCGTTCGCATGCCTCAGCGGCTCCACCATTTGGCATCGCTACATCACGGGAAGACCACAAATAGCGTCAGAAGACAATCAATGAAATTTGCCCAAAAAAAAAAATCAGAGAAAGAATAGGAAAAGAAGAGGATAGGAAATTAACCGCTGTTAAGAAAGTTGCAAAAGAAACCCGGCATCGCAAAGGATGGCTTTGTGCGGGAGATGCAGAAAGTGGAGAAGGACGAGAGATCGAGGTAGATGAGGAGCCCGAAAACACCAAGGAGGCCATTCCTCACTATCTCCCTCTCTCTGGCGGTGAGCTGAGTTCGTCTCCCTACCCTTCTTGAGTTCCTGTTCTATATCGAGGGTTTCGAGTTCCCCGGCGGGAAGACGCCGTCAAGTTTCTGGCCTACCTTATACGAACGAACTTGATTTTGCAACGCGGAAGGAAAATTTCGAGGAAAATTGATTTCCTCAAACGTCATCGTCGTCCAAAATTTATAAATAGAAACTAAATGCTCACCGTAAGATCACCGTAGTACGATAATTGATGCAAGCAAATAATTAATTATACAAAAATAATGCAAATAACAGCTTAACGATAATATTATTAATTCCGTGTCGACCCAACAAAGTCAGACAACGACAAAGAATGCTAAATTTTATCATTATAATTATTTAGAAAAAATTCATGTAATAATGAAATGTTGCATTCTTTATCAGTGTTTTCTTCGATTTTGTGATAACCTTTTTTTTTCTTATTATTAATTTACGTTTCATAATAAATATTAATATTCAACATATTTCATTATTTTTAGTGGCTTTTTATTTGGATGTAATAAAAAAAATAAAGTAAAATAAATGTAAGAATTTTAAATATTAAGGATTTGGTTTATTGTAAAATAAATGAAAATAATATTTAGGGAAATTTAGAATAAAATATATATACCTTATAATGTACGTAATTGGCTGAATATCTCTACTCAAAGAGATATACTTAAAACTTTCTTTATAAAATCAACCCCTATGAGAATTAATGTCTTATATTCATAAACTAATTATTAGAACCCTAATTCATTTGAAACTGATTCAAACATTTATTCAAATTTGATTCAAATCAACACTTGGTGAGAACGAGAGAAATCAATATCTTTGTGCAAGCATCAAAGGTAAGAAGGGCTCGAGAGTAAGAAAGAGACTATTCACAATAGAGCTCGTTAAAGAAAGCATCAATCAGATTGTTGCATGTGAAGAAGAATAAGAATTCATGCGAAGGCTCGAGTTTGTGCTCAAGCATGAAACAAATTAATCTACATTACTAAAAATGATTAAAGTTAGAGATAGACCTAAAAAGGCCTTACTAAAACGTATCAAAAATTATATTTTTATTAAATTTAAATAAAAAACTAATTCTTAATAAAACACAATAGAAAAAAAAAATTATGTAATTGAATGCAAAGGCTTGTTGTTGTTATAGTAATAAAAATTAACAGTATATTCAAATATTAGACAAAAAAATTATTATTCTACAAAATAATATGAATTTTCCTTCAAGCAAGGCCACTCTTACTGTTTACCTACTTAATTTCAAAGAAAAAAACCAAATAATATATAAATATTAAGCAAAACAACTTTTAATCACTTCTCATATAGGTTTTATTTGGAACGACTTTTTTATTGTTTTTTAAAACATAATTTTAATATCAAAATTTTAATTTTTAAACTAAATTTTTGCATTAAAAAGCAATTAAAAAAATGCTCTCAAACAAAATCATAATCTCTTTTGAGAGCTCACTGCTCTTATTTTAGAATGATGTTTATTTGATTAGAAGTAGAAGAAAATGCTAAAAAAAAATTTTAATTATTTTAACTTTTACATCAGAAGTGTATGAATTTAATATATATATATATATATATGGTGAAAAAATGTTAAGAATTAAATTAGTAGTTTATTAAATATCATATATAGTAAAATAAAGGTTGGGCTCAACATAAATTCAACGTTATCCCAGCATGGTTCTTTAATCAGCTTATAGAAAGGCTTCACCAAGAGCTTCATTCAAGGTCCAAAAATTGGCTTGATTTTTAAGCGATTTTTTATCTTTGTAGCTGAACCTGTGGCATGAAAATCAAACAGCAGCAAGCAGTAAGTGCGACATTGTTGACGTTGCATTGAGGCTTATGATCGAGTCAAAGTAGCACAATCTGATGATTTAAGTTTTATTTGGGATAATTTTTTTATTATTTTTTAATTTTTTTTTTAAAAAAAAATTTGAACTAAAATTTTTTTTATAAAAAAATTGCTTTAAAATGAAGCCTTAGTTAGAGGTGTAACTAAGCAAAGAGATCCGCAAGCTAGCTCAATCTAACTAGTTGATGAGTTCACAAGTCTAAGTTTATCGAATTGCAAGCTTGATCCCAAATTCATACAACTTGTAAAATATAGGAGCTCAAGTTCAAGCTTGAACTGACACGACTCATTGTCCTATGTGCCAATTAAATTATATCTAGACTCTTAATTTATATCATTCAATTTAGGATTTGTTGAGTCAGCCCACTTCTTCTTCAAACACATCTGGTCCCATCCATGCCTTCTTTAGCAAGTTTCTGCCTCGATTTGCCCTTTTGCCATTGGTCCAATCTCGGCCTTCTCCTCCGTAGTGACTTCGCCCTTATTATTGGCCCTATCAGTGCTTTCTATAGCTGATTCTGGCTTCATTTGGGACAACTTTCTTGCTGCTTCTTCAAATAATTTTTTAGTAAAAAAATAAAATTTTTATATTAAAAAATTACTTTAAGAAGCAGGAAAAAAATCATCCCAAACAAAATCTCTAAAATAGGCCTGTAAAATAAAGCAGTGATAGGTAGATGAAGTTGTTAACAAACCTGTCTATTGAGTCGCAGGCTTTACTCAGCATATTCTAGTCCACCTACATCAGCTGTCAGACCCAACTCCACTTCCTCTGCTACAAACGGATTCTGAAGATTTCTGATTTTTCCTAACAACCTGTACATCGTTCCTTAACATGTATACTACCATTATGTATCTGTTTTAGTAGCTGAACATATGAGAATGAATACAAAATCGCTTCTCTGCTTAACTCCCTTCTTCATCTTTTTCCTTTGTTTCTCTTCATTGTCTTTTCCCATAGGATTTTTTCTTATGGTATCAGAGCTATAGCGCCACCGCATCTGCCTTCATGTTTCAATGTTAGAGCAAGACTCATCTTCACCTACTCTACCCACCTTCACCTTATTTGCTTCTATGGCCGATTTCACTATCCCACCACCACTAAAATTCCTCATGTCAAATCTCAAACTCATAGTTTACATTCAGCTCACTAATGATAACTATGCAACATGGAGACTCCAAATTTTCAAGCTATTTTCTGCAAACGGCTTTGAAGGCTACCACATGGGACAACAGATCTGCCCGCCAAAACCACCTCCCAACTCCAATACCGATTACCGCCTCTAGCATTCAATCGATCAAACTATATAGTCTCCGCCTTGTTTTCTACAATATCACCATATGTGTTGCCGTATATCCTTCACCTTACAACAGCTCATTAAATACGGATGACCTTAGAGGCTCACCTTCAATCGACCAATCGATCAACGAGGTATCCAGCTGAAGAACGAAATTTATCATATCCAAATGCGCAATTAGACAATCGCCCAACATCTTGCTGAGATCAAGACTCTCATCGACAATATCTATCGACACCGAGGATATTATCCTCTATTCTCAATGGTCTGCCCTCAACCTCCAGTTTATTCAAAGCTACAGTCAAAACTTCACTTCATCCTATCAGCCTTGAAGTTCTCTAATCCCTTCTTTGCAGTGAAGAAATTAACCTCTGTCGTCCCGAGATACGTGGTATGCGTCGTCCCAAGCAGGCTTGGTTGCGTCCATTGTTATCCGGAACTCCATCGTCGTCCCGAGTTCCGCCGTCGAGCAACACACAAACTCCGTCATCTTGATTTTCTCGCCCGGCCTTCGATTAATCCTCCCGCCTGCTCAAACCGAAGTTTCATTTTCCCGCCCGTAACCTCGCGAGCTGCTCGACGAACTAATGAGTCGAGCAGAGGTCAGTTCGAGCTCGATAAGCCATCGAGCTCAAAATCGTGCTTGAGCTCAATAAGCTCGACTCGTCGAACTTGTTACCAAGTCGAGTCCGAACCGGCTTGACTTGGTTACACCCCTAATATATATATATATATATTAGGATATTATTCTCCCTTATTTATTTCCTCATTTGTGTTACTCTCCTATCAAATTTAACAAGGCGCAAGTTTTTTTTTCAACTTTACATAGTATTAGAACAAGATTTCCATACTGCTCTCTCCCATCTCTTTTCTAAATCCTAGTCGCCTCTCGCACACCTCCAATCAATTCCCACAGCTCACCACACCCAAGAACTAATTCCCCTAAATCGCTATCCTACCAACTGCTTACACTGACCCTTTGCCACTACTCTTGGCCGTGACCTGTTCCCACCTTTAAATGCTATTTCGTTTGTTTACAAATCTCGATGCATCACTCAGCTGGCTCACTTGCACCTTGCACTCTTTACCCCAACATGTAACCCATTATTGTGTATTGCCTATTGCACTCGATCACATCGTCAAAACCGCACAATAGCTTTCATGCTCCTCTTGTGAACCATGGGGACCTTATTTTTTCCAAGAAACTAAGAGCAAGAGTGACACAAGTTTAGGGGCTTAAGAGAGATAAGAAGAGAAGAAATATTATATTGAAGTTACCCTATAAGATGGTAAAGAACGGAAATAGCACAAAAGAAAACAATAATTCAAAGTGGTTCAATTTGCAGACATACTTCAGCCGCCAAGGTGAGTACAACAACAATAACATCAAGCTTTTGTCCCACTAAGGTGAGTAAGAGAAAATATTTATGATGTTAATGAGGGATAATAGAGAGGTCCTGTAGTGTTTAGAAGGTTTTCCGAGAGCGAGAAGATGAGGAAAAGAGAAATACAAAAGAGAGAAGTTATATCTAAGAGAAGTTTAGCTTTATATCATTACATCAAGTGGGAAGAAAAAACCAAAGAAAAATAAAACATGCAGCACCAAGGTCTTCTATGGAAGATAAGACAAATAATCTGGTGGCAGACTTCAAAAACAATATTTTTAAATCATATCATTCACTGTTATGCAAACAATCACAGCGGAAACAAAATTTCACAACAAATAATACAAAGAATACGACGATTTACATGGTTCGGCGAAGATGCCTATGTCCAGGGGGAGGAGAAGATGATTACAATATATTGGAGAACAATAGGGAATTACAATAACTCTCAAACTTTCTCTTCTCTCATGCAATCAATACAATAGCCCTTACACCCTATTTATATATTTGAGCCATAGTAAATTAGGAAAAAGCTTCCTATTTTAATCTTAATCAAATCTCTAATTAATACAATAATTAGATCTCCTAAATAATGCATCAATCAAATCTCCAATCAAATCATCATAATTAGGAAAAAATCTGATTCCTAATTAATTACAATAAGGAGTCATTTAAAGCTTTTTAAAATAAAGTTTAAAGTAAATTTGGAAGTAAATCCAAACCAACAATCTCAACCTCATCTTTCATTTCAGAAAGTAAAAGATGACAAATCAGGCTCCAATATCAGAACGATTGCACCAAGATAGTTGCCTACGTACCTCCCCTCTCCTCCCCTCCTAAGAGATCAAGTTGAGCATAGTTCTTCAAATATGAACAATCAGTCATGAACTCTAATGTTCACCAAACTCTTGCAATAGATGAACTTCTGAACTGGTTGTACCTTTGTGAGCATTTCTGTTGGATTCTCCTTAGTATTTATCTTCTTCAATTGGACATTGCCTTCAACAATCAAGTCTCGAACAAAGTAATGTCTCACATCAATGTGCTTGGTACGAGCATGAAAGACTAGATTTGTGGCCAAATATATAGCACTCTGACTATCACAGAACAACGTCAGAGACTTCTGGTCAACTCCCAAATCATCCAGAAGGCCTTACATCCATATTTACTCCTTCACTGCCTCTATGGATGCCATATACCCACCCTCAATAATAGGCAAAGCAACAGTAGACTGAAGTCCTTATCTCCAACTAACTAGACCTCCTGCCAATGTGAATACATACACAGTCACAAACCTACGTCTATCAATGCCACCGGCATAATCTAAATCAGTGTAACCTACACATAAATCAGCAACAGATGACTGCCTCTCGAACACCAAGCCTACATCAACTTTACCCTTTAGATACCTTAGGATACTCTTCACATCCTGCCAATGGCTCCTTTATGGATCATGCATCAACCTGCTCACATCACCAACTACATGTGCTATGTCTGGCCCAGTACAAACCATAATGTATATCAGACTGCCAACTGCACTAGCATAAGGAACCGATCTCATATATTTCCTCTCCTGATCATCCTTAGGACATTGAACTAAACTCAACTAGAAGTAAGATGCAATTGGTAGACTCATTACCTTGCTCAAGTCATTGATCCCAAATTTTTTACACCTTCCAAACATAAGCTTCTTATGAAAGCCAAATCTTTCTAGTTGCCTCGTCTCTTAGAATCTTGATAGGAAATACTTAGATCCAAGTATTCCTATCGCTCCACGTGGAGAAAACAACAAGAAGGTTGCTGTTTTCTACAGGAAATCAGCCCAAAACGTATGAAAACAGTAGAAAATCGTAGGAAAACTGAGAGAAAAACGTTTAATGGACTTATATTCCACTAGTAGATGATCAAAGAAAAAGCAAGATACAATGTTCTTCGATTCGAGAGGAAGAACAACTCTCCGATCTTCTCCGGCAACGCCAAGAGCCCAAGCAAGAAAACCCTAGATCTCAAATTACATTCAAATTCAAGATAATCCCTTTTCCCTCCTCATCCTCCTAATTAACCATAAAGGATTCATACAAAATACCTAAACAGCCCTTTGCATTCAAAAATTTCCCTCCCACCTAATTAAATCATCCCCAAATGGGGTCCACCATGTCCGCCCGCTCCTCTGGGAGCTTCCGCCTCCGCCTGGTGTAGACCCGGGCTAAACCGGGTCCAGCCGGCCCCTCCTGGGCCGGTTCACGCGTAACAAATCTCCATGCCAAGGATTTTGCAAACTTCACACAACTCCATCTCAAAATGTTTTGATAGTTGCTTCTTCATCCTATCAATCTCAGTATGGCTGACAGATACAATCAACATATCATCAACATACATAAGCAAGTAGATGAACTCACCATTGGCCAACTTTTCGAAATATGCACAATGATCATATTGGCTCCTTGTGTACTCCTCTTTCATCATGAACTGATCAAACTTCTTGTACCACTGTCGTGGTGATTGTTTAACCCATATAAAGACTTGTCCAATCTACAAACCAAGTCATTTGAGGCTCCATATCCAGACAGTTGTAACATATAAATCTCCTCCAACAATTCTCCGTGTAATAATGCAGTCTTCACATCAAGCTACTCCAAAATTAAACCATAGTGAGCTACAAGTGCTAGGAGAGCACGGATCGAGGGATGCTTGACCACTGGGTATAACACTCATCATAATCAATCTCTTCTCGTTGTGCAAAGCCTTTTTTCCACCAACCTAGCCTTGTACCTCACATTAGCTCCATGAGATCCTTCCTTTTTTGTATATACCAATTTGCACCCAATGACTTTTTTTCCTAGAATAAGCTTCACTAACCTCCAAGTAGAATTTTTCTAAAGAGACACCATTTCTTCATCCATAGCCTTCTTCCAAAAATCACCTTCAGGATTTACATGGCATTGTATCAACTGTGATACCAAAATACTTGTCCCCAAGATTACAACATGCTCTGACCCTTCAGTATGGTAGTCAAAGGCCATAGGTCTCATTTTCGACTCCCAAGAGAATCTCAAGAAATTTTTCTCTAGACAAATGCCAAAAGAGCTCGTAAGAGGGAATAATGCGCAGTCTCGAGACAGATAAGAAATAAATTATTTCATTTTATATTAAAAGGATACATTAAAGCAAATGCTTGTGATAAAAAAACACCTTTAGCACAGTTATTATTAGCTTGTAAAGAGGACTATCTGATGTGTTTTCATCACTCAATTTAATGAAAAATACAAGAAAATAATTACAATAATTCGAAATTTGTGGAGAGACTATGATTAGCTTTGAGAATAACAAGTCGAATGTGGCGTAGTGGCAGTGACATGATATGCATTCGGGATTCCAGCCAAAAAAGAAAATAGCAGTTCAGCACCTCAGACATTTAAGTATTAGAGAGCTTATTTTCTTTTTTTCTCTTCACATACTATGTTTCCGAATATCTTCTTCCTTGGCTTTCTTGCAGACCAGATGATTGAAATGTCTTCAGAAGAAGAACCAGCAAGAGGTTGACTTGCTGGCTTGCGAGTTGTCAGCTCCATAGTTGATTGTTAGAGAACCCTAAAATGAACCCTAAATGATGATATTTTTTTGCATTGTTTAAAATTACCTAAGATGGTCTTGCACGTGCAACAAAGACGTTTTTCAAGCTCTAGCCAATATTATAATATCAATGAGCCATAGCAATGGCTATAGGTTTTTTTTAAATACTTCAACCAGTGACTTTTGATATGACTATTATCTTAATTCCACTAGTAGTGTCACTTGAAATCTAAAAAATGTAGAAGCTGATTTGTTTTCTAATATATATATATATATGTTCACATATTTTCATCCATATTAATTGAAGCTGCTTCTTTCTGATCCTGTGCAAGTGGATGAGCTGTGAATGCGGACTTAAGCTGAGTGCTTTCCAAGTTTGACAGCAATTGGCTCACGGTCTTCAGATGTGGAACACTGCAGCGAAAGATAAAAGAAGCTGGTCCAATGTTTATGCTACAAAATGAAACACTAAAAGCTTCCTTTCTTTTTCCTAAGTGAAACAGATAAGAGTGAACTGAATTTCAATTGGTCGCGTTTCAATAATTGGTTAGCAGTGCCAGTAAATTCATAGCAAGATAGAGGCTTCGTTGGTTATTCCGTACTTTTGTAAAAGGCAGGTTTAAGAAACATTGATTCGGAAAATGGAGTTTTCTAACAGAGAAAACACGTATAAAAAGCTTTCTCAAAACAGCAAAAAATGAATAAAAAAAACAGTGTAATTGAAAACATGATTTGAGCAATCAAACAGTAAAGAAGAAATAACTTTAACATTTTAAAAAGGAATAAGCACAAAAAACACCCAAACAAACTAGGCTAGAGTCAAAGAACAAAGATGCCTTTAAAATGAAGTTAGGTCTTCACCACTTGGTATGTTCCTGCACAAACATGTTTGTCTAGGTCAGGTTATACAGCTTATGCTCATTATGTGAACCTGAATTGGGTTTAAGAAGCCTTTGATTGAGAATTGAATTTACCCTTCTACAACATAGAACTCACCAAGTCTGACGTCACCCAAAGCATGAGTCTCGCACAATCAAATATTGAACAAGCCACCAAAGAGTTAGCTCTAACTTGATCCTGAGCATTAAGCTACAAAATTCACCCAAGAGATTCATGAACCGTCCTTTAAACAAGGCAATTTGCCCAAAAGAACTCAACTTGCCTCAAGTGCTCATAAGCCAACTAGAAATTATCATTAGAAGAACTTGCTAAAGGCACTCTCCGTTATTTAGAAATCTGCCCGAAGTTCCCCCAACTACAAATCTAACTTGTTTGCTACACCACTAGCTGTGGGCTCCGAAAATTCGGCCCCGGCCTTTGCCCGCACTGATGTACTTTTTCTTTTTGGCGAGGGAGTTTTAACGAAATAAGTTCCAGGGGAAATTTTGAAAGGCAGATGGGTTTGTAGATAAGACACTTACTCAGAGATTTCGCCCTCATTTTGCGAGGACTTTATGATTTGCGTTCTGGTTTCCTATAGGCGCAAGCTCCTATAGTTATTACCTCTCCCGATCACGAGAGAGAACTTTCGATTAAGGTTATTCGTCAATCAGATACGTAGAATATACGTGTTATCTGGCATATAGTAGCAGCATGGGTATTTGGTTGGAAAATTGGAGAGTTTGAAGATTTAGAAAATTGATATTTAAAATAGAAATTTCACCATCTTTCACTTAAAGCGAATGGTGGGGAAATGAATGATAGACCCGATCAAGATCCCATGGTTCCGTCGTCTCGGGCCATCGTGGTCCCTGGTCTACTTAATCAGAGGAGGTAGTCAACCCAACCTGACAGAAGGATCCTTGTCGGCAACCATGGGTTGCTTCATTCAAGGGTACCTTGTAGACATTGGATGGATATTTGCCTAAGATGACAAAATTGAATCCACCTTCGCTAACAGAGGGCTTTGTGCCCTATCGATCATATCCTATTGATTCATATCTCAAGGATTTGATGCCACTAAGGAGCGTATTAGCTCTGGCCATAACCAGTATTTGGTGGTGCCATTTGGTGACAAAACCACTCGGTTCAGAGGGCCCCGGGTCATAACCGTTCATCCTGCGGTGTCATTTGGCAGCAAAACTGCCGGTTAAAGAACACTTACCATGTCCTTACTGGCAGGAGGTTGTTTGAGAATGGATCCTAGTGATATTTTCAACAAGACATTTGGCTCTTTGTGAGCTGAAGTAAATTTTAATTTGTCCACATCGGCAAACTGTTGTGGAGGATGGATGGATTTTGCTTTAAGTGTTTGGGTGGTTGGATTTCAATTTTAAATATTTGGATTTTGGGATTTATGGGATTTTGGATTTTCAGATGTTTGGAATTGACTTTTGGGAGGCATTTGAAAATATTTGTGAACCCCTCCGGTTGAGATAAACATTCAGCACGGCCATCATCGGGGTATAAGGGGGTCATTTCCATTTGTGGATTGAACCTTGTCAACTCTATCGAGCTATCGACAAAGGATCGGGTTTCATATGCTTTATGCCTTTGTTAGTGAATTATCTTGATTATAAGCCTTGAAGGCCTAATATGAATATATTAAAATAAATACACCGGTCGTCACAACCGTGTCAACAGTGTATTTGTTTGAAGGTTCGAACCTTGTCAACTCCTATTGATCCGCATAAGAGGATCGGGTTTGAACTTGAATTCACTTATTGACCCGCGTAGCATCCCTAGACGTCACGTGTGTACCAACTACCAACAACACGCTCGTCGGGGCCTATGCGGGTGTTTGGGGGTATTTTATAATTATACCATGTCTACTCCTTTTTACCTGCCTAAGAGGATCGGGTTTAAATTTAATAACCTGCGTAGCTGTCACTACCCAACTCGACCGGGACGGATCCCGCCCGCACCGGGCCGCGACCAGCTTAACGAACAGACAGACCAGGATCTGGCTTTGGAATTTGTTTGGGAACTGATTCTTCCAAATATTTCAACTCAAAAACAGACGCACAGAGCTACTATGAAACATCAAATGCAGCGGAACAAAACATCTATATTTTTCTTTCTTTTCCTCAAAACAATCATCTACAACTACAGACCATGGCTCAGACAGAAAGAAACAGAGCAGAAGAGCCATGTCTGTACAAAAATCAAAAGTACAAAATAATACCTATAACTGATCAGACTCTGAAATCTAGTCCTGGACCTCCTTCCCTTTCCCAAAACCTGAAAACCACCAGAAAACAAGGATGAGCTCAACAGCTCAGCAAAGGACAAACTCCAATCAAAATTCCAGAATCCACATCAAACACATCAGACAGAAATCCGTAACAGAAATCGAAACAGAATCGTATAATCAAATCAGAACAGAACAGAAATATCGAATCAGAACTGAGTCATACAGATCAAATCAACAGAATCAAAATCGTACAGAAATCAGATATCGAACAGAAGAACATGTCAGAATCGTATCAAAATCATATCATACAGATCAGATCAAATTATATCGTACAGAAATTCAGAAATCATATTTGCTTACAGAACAGATACGGAAATCAGAATCAGATTATATCAGATAGTATTTAATTAATAGCTAAATTCCCTGAACACTAAACAGATCTCTTACGGATTCTGGCCCCTTATGCCTCCCTTTGTGCTCACGGCAACAAAACAAATTTGCTTATGTGCTCACGGCACCAGAACATATGTGCTTATAGCACAGAACAGATTTCATGGATCCGGAACAGAACAGATATCGGAATTTCAGATTGAGCTCATTTCAGATTTCCCAGACATAACTGAATCTCTTAGGATCCAGGCCCTTATTATTCCCTTTTAATAGCATATACAATAGCATATCAATTAGAAAAGAATCCGGACGAATTCAAAAATCAGACAAAATCGGGCAGCACAACGGCTGTATACAGAATTTACACATTTTTCTGAAAAATCACAGAATAAACCAATTTGCACAGAATGTAAGAATAACAACATTGCAAGACTTTAATTCTTCTGCTCAGACAATTTTAGACACACAAAAAATATGTCGACGAAAAACGCCGTTAAATCAAATCTACCCGAACAAAATTCCAGAAAATACAAAATGTGCACACGTCGGCAGTCAACAACATACAGAAAATTTCGCGGTAAAAACTGAACCAGACGGAAAATACAGACGAAATCCTTGCAAAATCAATTTCGGACAGATAATAACCGCCAAACACGACGGTTCTGAAAAATTGAGAAGGCGGATTGTGCCTAACCTTGCGTACAACACTTTCCTGAAAGTCTCGTCGGACGAAAAACGGTCGGCGTCGCCGAAAATCAACTTTTCCATTTTTTCCTTCGTTCTTCTCTCTCCTAACTTTTTCTCTCTCTTAAAAATATCTCATTTCTATATATATCCAGACTTGATCGTCGGACAGATCGCACTTCGTCCCGGAAATCTGGTCTGGAAAGTGTCGTCCAGTACGCGTTTATTTACGTCCCCGGCGACCGGTCCTCTGGACATTTCGTCCAACGAATGCTCAATTTTCACAA